TCAGCAGCCTCCATAAATTAAATCTGGCCACCTAGCTCCCAGACTGGCAGGCTCCTACATCATTGACAGGGAAGACAGGGGAAAGCAGTTTTCCCAGCTGTTGCTGTAAATGATGTGCATTGTGCTCACAGCCATTAGCAGGTGGAGAATTTGAAGTGTGGATAGATTGCAGAGCTCCCTCTTTTAAAAATGCATAAGCACTTTGTGAGTTTGCTAAGTCATGTTTCACTCGGCTTGGTTTGAATTTTTCATAGTGGAGAAATATTCTGTAGTCTTTCCTCTTTTATCCCTTCTTTATCAGTAAAGACTTCTGCCATTAGGGCTATAGTCGAAAGGGGCCATGTACAGTCGTACAGTTTGCTTGACTGGTCCTCAATTTTTTGCAAGTTGTAAAATGTCTGAAGATTTGAGCTTTAAGGACTCAGGGCAATTGAGGGTCCTGCTCCTTCCCATTTAATCCAAACTACAAATCACTCCCAGCTCTGGGTTTAAATTTATTTTATGTGTCTTCAAGTAAATTTTTATCTCAGAAGACTCATCCGTTTGTGAAATTCTAAGCACTGCACGGTAAAAGAGACTTCTTTCCCAAAGTCTCCCCTGGTTACGCACTATGTGCTGGAAACTGCATGTGCTTGCGGTCACTCTCCGCTGCCACACTAACAACAGACATTACTAAATGTCATCATCCATTTTCTTGATGAGCCGAGTTTAAGCGTTCGTGTCCTTCCTCACATGATGTTCCAGCCAGGCCTAACAGTGGGTTGTATAGCATACCTGTGGAAACCAACTAATCATATCTAACAGGCTCCTGATTTGTTTTGTTTATGTAGGTCGATGTCTGGCCTTTAGTAGAGCACTTAGGTACAAACGAATGGAATACTTACTGGGTGCTACAAACCATGAAACACCTTTACATTAATTGTCTCATTTTTTTAAAAACCTCTGTGAAGGAGATACTATCATTAGCGTTATTTTATTTTATTTTATTTTTATATAGAGAAGCAGCACTCACACATGTGCTCAAGCCTGGGAAAGGGAGAAAGGGAGAAGGAGAAAGAGAGAATCTTAAGCAGACTCTATGCCCAGCGTGGAGCCCAGTGCAGGGCTTGATCTTACAACCCTGGGATTCATGACTTGGGTTATGAAATCAAAACGTCAGACACTTAACTGCCTGAGCCAGCCAGGTGTCCCTCCCTTTATTTTTTAGATGAGGAAATTGAGGCTCATAGAGGTGATGTAATGTATACAAACTGACAAATTGTGGGGCTAATTCCAGAGCCTACAATCTCTGCCATGTTAGGATCCTGATGCAATTCAGCCTATGTGTCTGTGCTCATTCATTCATTTATCAAATGAATGAATTTTTACCAAACCTCTATTCTGTGCCAGGCACCACAAATGATAAGAATATCCAACAAATTCAGCAATGGTATATTTAAAAATAAAGTAGAGCTGTCGTGCTCTTTGACCATTAGCCAGTTAATAAGCCCCTCAAAAAACAGTAGCTTTTTTTTTAAGTATCAATAAATTAGACTCTTAGGATGACATGGTTTTCTCCCTATACCTGGCTAATCAGTTGTCCCTTACTCTCTCTTCAAATGGAGAGAATGGTTCCAGCCCCTAAAGAAACCTCAGCAGATTGGGAGCAAAAGTATGTTGTAATTTGAAGTACCAAAGTATTTATGAGATCATAATTGGCTCTAATTGGAGAGATTCTAGAACACCTTGGGTTAAGGAGATACTGACCTTTCACAGATCCTTCCACATCTGCTAGGGCTGCTGAACACCTGTCCCTGGAGATGATAAGGGCAGTGGCCAGCGCCCATACACATCACTTCTCTCTTCTGGTTGAAAACCTCTGCTCTGGTTACAATCTGGGGAAGGGGATAATCAGAGAGACAGTGTTCCCAAAACAAGAAACAAAGTGGCGGTTATCTTCTTACATTTGAGTATCTTTCACGTTTCATGATGACTCTTCACACAGTATCTCCAACTGGATTAATACCATCCCCTTCCTTGATTCCAACCTAATATATAGACTTCAGAAGCCTTCTTATGAATTATCTTGCCAAAAATGTTCAAACAAATGTTCTCATAAAATATTGAAACACGTGATAGTATAATGTGCTGCACTAAAATTAAATTGTTCAGTTTCCCTTTAATAGTGATAGTGCCTAGAAGAAGTGGAAAGTAATAATCCTCTTTTCCGGGTACCTGAAGAATCCCAGCTGACACTGGAATCCATGATCAGCCCAGTGGTTAGGGAGGATGCTACATCCGTCCCTGGTTCCTGGTTTGGACATGCAGTGACGGTTGTGTACATTTTCCCACATAGCGCTCAGTGCTCCCTCTCCTGATGGTGTGTGTGCTACTGAATTGACTTTTAGAAAAGCCCCAGGTTTCCCTCCAAGTCCACTGAAGGAAATGACTTTACCATGGGAGAGGAAACTCTTAGGGAGGACACAGGCTTGTGTCTACTGGTTCTACTGGTTCAGCAGGGTTTATGGCCAAAATATTTTGTCATCTCATAAGATAACGGGCAGGCTTATCTCAGCACACACGTCTTCTTTGTCTCCTATCTGTCTCCTCTTCGTCTCCTTTCTTTTTAAGATTTAGGTCAGTTTCTGAACTTTTCCCAAAAAGGATCAAACTGGATCAACTCTAGGTTGATATGATTACTTTTTTTTTGGCCCAGTGCATTCGAGCCATTTCTCCATCAAGTCGTATTAGCTTAGGGATGGCTGGTTTTGGAGAGGTAGAGGCAGATTCTGCCTTTGGAAGGAGAAAAATGATATCCTCAGAATCTGGGCCGGCAGACAAAACATTTTCAGTCACCATCTGGTACATGTTGAGCATTTTCCCTGTTGCATGGAAGATATTTATTGGTAATAGCCTGGGAGAAGTAGGACATTATTGCTGTGGTGATTCCTTTTGGCTAATTGGACTGTTGCATTTCATTTAATGGGTGTATAAATGCAATGATTACTCAGTCACATTTTTAAAAAGTGGTCTGAAAGAGTAGGTATACTTTAGAGATAATAGTGGAGTTGCAATTCACAGGCACTCTTTTTATTTTACTCCCTCTGAAAAATGTTTAAGATAAGTTGCTATAAATATTTAAATCATTTAGATGTGTAGATGACAGGCCTTTTACAAGAAGATAGGACATAACTTTCCAAATAGTTTCTTTTTCCATTTTAGGTTTCCTCTACTTTGACCATATTAGAAATGACACTAAAGTGGGATCTTATTATCATGTGATTCATTATTTATGAGGATAAGATACAGCACAACTCAAAACTGGGTCTCCTTTTAAACAAATAAAGATCCTACATTACCCTTGTCCTCAATATTAGCATCATAAAGGGGATTCATTTCCTTTTATTTTTTATGGCTTAAGTGTGATGACCTATATGAAATGCCCAGCAATAGAATGTATGGTGAGTAAATAGTATCAAGCTCATGACTTTAAGAAGACTGTTCAGAGTGTTTGGAGGATAGAAGGCTGAGAGCAGTGACTTATGTTTAGGAACTTGCTTTATGCCCTAATTGTAGATTTTCTAGTTCAGAGAGTTACCAACTGTATATCTGAAAAATGGGTCTGTATCCAAACAGCTGAATGCAATGCTTTGAGTCAAGACTGAGGGGAGTAGGGAGACAGGAACTCACGCTGGATTAAATATAATACAATGGATTGTGTAGCTTAAAAGCCTACTGACAGTAGCAGTTTCAGGTATGGGTCGATCCAGGACTTAAAAGTTACTGTTAGGATACAGTCTTTTATTGAGTTTCTACACTGTACGCTGAGCTATTTGCTGGGGTTACAACAATGGGCCCTTTCCTGTGCCCACTTCAGAGAGCTCATGGGGAATAGCTGAAATGCATAAAGTAAAAAAGAATTATAACAAAATGTGATATGTGCAGTAATAAGGCACTTAGAAATCAAAACCATAACTCAGAGAAAAAAGTGATAAATATTACTTAGGAGCAGAGAACAAGGACGTCAGAGAGAAGTTAAACCCTGAACAGTCAGGCAAATTGAAGAAAAATGATTAATTGGTTTGGTTATGGTATTTGGGAAACTTGCATTCAAATCTCAGCTCTGCCACTTGCAAAATGTACAAAGTAGGGCAAGTTTCTTAAATTTGAAAGGTCTGTCTTTGTTTCCTTGTATGGAAACCAGGAGTGGAGCTACTGAGCTTGTAGAATAATGCGGCTCCCATGAGTTGATGGGTGTGCAGAGTTTACATGGGGACTGGCACAATGTAAGCCCTCCTTAACTCATCACCTCTCGTACTTGATGCAACAACCTGGAGCTTTGGATCCGGGTTTAACGTCAGCCACAGTAAAATCAGGTAGCGTTTACTGAGGGTAAATGCCATGCCCTGCCTTAAGCATTTCACTTGACTTATTTTTTTAAAAATTTTTAGTTTATTTATCTTTGAGACAGAGACAGAGCATGAGTGGGGGAGGGGCAGAGAGAGAGGGAGACACAGAATCTGAAACAGGCTCCAGGCTCTGAGCTGGCTGTCAGCATAGAGCCCGATGCAGGGCTCGAACCCATGAACTGTGAGATCTGACGCTCAACTGACTGAGCCACCCAGGCGCCCCTCACTTGATTTATTTAAATCCTCCCTGCAACTCAAGGAAGCAGGAAAGTGATTGTCCTCACCTCCCCGGTGAGGAAACTGAAGCTTTGAGAACGTAAGGGGACTGCTAAGGTGGCAGGGTTAGTAAGTGGTATCATCTAGGCAGCTGGCCACATGCTCGTGGACTTAAGCATGATGCTCTCCTTCCTGGTGCACAGCAGGCCGCTAACTTCCTCCCTTGAGCAGCCTGGGCTTTGGGGTAGTCATGTCTCAGCCCGTCCTACATGGCCCTCCCCTTCTTCTTAAGCCAGGGTTGTGGACGCTTGTGTGCTGTGTGTGTTCAGATGCTGTGCTGCTTCTCCCGGCTGAGGTGGCTGGCATTAACCCCTTGGGTGCTGTGCTTCCTTGCAGGTGAGCCTTCCAGGTGGTCCACCTCACACTGCCACTGCTGCTGCAAGAGCGCCGGGGGCGACAAAGAGGGGGAGAGTGGCACATCTTGCAATGACCTCTCCACCTCCAGCTGCGACAGCCAGTCTGAGGCCAGCTCCCCCCAGGAGACGGTCATCTGTGGGCCCGTGACACGCCAGACCAACATCCAAACTCTGGACCGTCCCATCAAGAAGGGCCCTGTGCAGCTGATCCAGCAGTCAGAGATGCGGCGGAAAAGCGATCTGCTCCGGACTCTGACTTCAGGCTCCAGGGAGTCGAACATGAGTAGCAAAAAAAAAGCTGTTAAGGAAAAGCTCTCCATTGAGGAGGAGCTGGAGAAATGCATCCAGGATTTCCTAAAGATCAAAATCCCTGATCGGTTCCCCGAGAGAAAACATCCTTGGCAATCTGAACTTTTACGGAAGTATCATCTATAGGGGAGGGGCTGGGGGGGAGGGGGGAGAAGAAAAAAACCATGTCACCATTTGGAAACAAACCTCCTAAGGAAATTCACATTTGAAAAGAAAAGTAACAACTAACAATACGTTTGTGAGAACACAGTAGCCCATTGATACACTACTGCCTATTTACCTAGTTCACCTTAACATTTAAATCCACAGGGTAGATTTCTTTCAAGATGTGGAATTATAAGAAAATCTCTTTCTTGGTTCCTTGTTTGTTTGTTCGCTGGGTCCCGTGTGCTGAGTATCTTATGTATAAGGAGAGCCAGATACAGAAGAGTAGCTGAGAAGCCTTGGGAGTCCTCTATCCCCGACTGGGTTTTTCTCTCATCTTCTACCTCCCTCCTTTGAATGAGAGCACGGTAGAAGGAGATCTGGCCCAATGGCACAGGTTCAGATTTTCTTTTAATTTCTTTTCCTTTTTGTTTATGGGGTAAGGGGGGAATGGCAGATTTATATGACTTTTCACTCAAATCTATTACGTGCCAGTTTCTATTGACAATGTACGTGTGAGTATTTGTGCAGCACAAGCACAACGATGTCTGTACACACACACTGCACATGTTCCCAGGGCCTGGGTATCCTGAGGGGAACACCCTTGCTCGCAGCAGCAATGTCTTAGACTCCTTCAGACAGAGGAGCCTCAGCTCCTTTCTGAAAACCCTTCTGGGAAGATTCCCCACCCTCTCTTGGCAACACTTTCCCACATCAAGTAACTCTCCTCATCAACAAACTGTCTTCCTTACTTTGAAATGAACACCTTCAGGCTCCATTTTATGGTTTTGCTCTTTCTCTGCACTGGGAGAGGGTGAGAAGAGCGAGCCAAACATACTTTGCATGAAAGAAACAGACATTCCTATCCACAAAAATTCTGACTCCGTGACCCCACACTCAGGCTCCTCTACCCTGAGCTGAGTTACCTTCCTTCTCTCAATGTTTCCAGAGTCCTCCCTGCCCATGTGTTAATGGTGTGGCCTTTTCATGTAATCCACATTCAGTTCTTTGCGTTCCTCTGTAGCTGTGGAAGTAAGAACAACACGGAGTACTTGAATAAGGGTCCAGCCTTTTGTTTGTTTCGTTAAGAGGGACTTGTATGCCACACACCATTTAATTGCTCATAACCTTTTAATGCTATAGTGCTACATGGTGACTTCCTTGTAGCTAGTCTTGTTTTTGGGTTTCTGGGATTTGGCTGTGTCTATCCTCTGATGTGGCTGCCATTCCCTGATGTGTACACACACCCCCAATTAGATAACTAGAACTTCAAAACGAAGGTTTTGGCTTTCTCAACTATCTTTCTCAAGTACATCTTTGACCTGTATAGACACAGCCAAAAAGAAACTGTTAATAGCCATCTATCCATATGAGTCTGTATTCTATAAATGTACTAATAGGTCTTTCATAGGCTTGTGGTAAATGAGGATTAAAAGACCAGTTTTCATTTTCCACATTCCTCATGCCTTTCAGTGGGAACTTAAACAATAATATGTCAATTATTATTTGTGTGCCAAGCACTCCTATTTTTATTTTTTGTGTGTGTGTATGTGTATATGTATCACAGGTAATCAAGGCAACTGGATGATGGCTGTAGGAGGGAAAAATAGTGACCACTTGCTTCCTTTTGAAATATTTTGTTGATGCACATTTATTATGTAAGAGTTTCTCTCTTGATTCCTATTATTAGAGCCTGTTTAGTATATGCATATCTTTCTGAATTTTTGTAATTCTTGTCCTCACCTCTGGGCAACAAACGCAGTCAATGTTTTCTTGTCCTGAGGTTCAAATGGAATTTAAAGTTCTACTTAGGTGAAAAAGAAAGTTCACTTGGGGAGTTGAGTTGTCAAGAGAATTATCATTCATGAATTTAAGTGGAGTTCTTTTATGTATTAATAATTAGCAACCATTTGTTCTTAACTACAACATAGCTATGTTGGTAGCCTACCAGTATATCTTCTTTCTTTTCAAAGTTTCTTAACACCATATCAAAAATACCATCACCCCAAGAATAGAGATCCTGCAAAAAAAAAAAAAAAATCATAGAATTTAATGGGTCACGAAGAAATTGAATATAGATAAAACATCCCCAAACTCACTTAGGTAAGATGATTCCTGTGGCCCTACTGGAGTTTGCCATCTACATGAAATGCCCAGGATTTCAACTTCCTTAAATTTCAGACCTGACTAGAGTGGTGTCAAAACAGATACACTAGAAAGAACTGAAGAAGGAGGAAGATATCAATCAACCCCCACTACTCCCACTGCCTGGTGCCAATAGGAAACCAAACACTTCAAAGAAAATGTTCATGACATATGTCTCTGACCCTTGACCTGTCATGAATTTTTTTCTCTGAATAGGCAATCATTAGACACCCCCCTCTCCCCACCAGGGAACAAAACTAGTGGTAGGAAATCTGATTAAAACAATAACAGTTTTCATCTCAGCCAGCTCTAAACTGACACACACCCCAAGTAGTCCAAATAGCTAAGGCAACTGTGGGTGTTGATTATGGAGATGAATAACAACCTGATCAGTAAATCTCTGAGAAGGCACCAAGCCCTTAGAAAGCTTCTGTCCTCCTTTGAGTGAAGTTATCAAGTGTGGTCTGTGTGGCCTGCCATATCTGAAATGAGCTCCGGCTAAGTGAGTTACAAGATTAAACGTTCCATTGTGCCTAATCTGTGCCAGTTTCCCAGAGCTTTCAGAACTTTCAGTTCACTTCTGGACAGAACAATATATGTGGTTCGCTTCTTAAATACTGGTTATGATGAGGGCCATAATTTGCTGCTATGAAGAAACTAATAGCATCAGATGGATCGAATGAAAGAGGAATCATATGTGTAGAACCCCAACTTAGGTTGCAATGCCAAAAGCCAGTGAGGTTGGGGATGTCACTGTCTACAGGTCTATGGGTCTCCTGAAGTCAGGAACATTTATCAAGCCCTCCTACCCACTATCAAAAAGGGAGTGATTTATGTTTAGCAGGAAAAGATGGAGACAGAAAAATAACACTGTGAGATCACTGTGGTGTCGTGATCTCCCTCCTCCTGCTAAGAAAAAATTGTACTGCGATGTGGTCATAAAACAGCAAAGTAAAGTGGCTTCCACAATAGGCTGTGGTGTTATCCTTTGTGATTGTTAGCAGTTATCTTATTGGACATGCATGCCTGGTAAATTAAAATAAAAGGGGAACAATGCACAAATCGTGTGTTCCCCTCACTCTTTCTTCCTCCTTAACCATGTCTACCCTCACCTGATTCACTTTAGGGAGACACATTTATTGAAAGAAAACTAATGGACTTTTTCACTTTTCAGTTGCCCTTGTTTAATTCAAAGGCACCTTTTTTCTTAGGCATGGATGTGGGTCCTCTTAGTTGTCAACAGCGTGTGCTTCTGGATTACTTTTGCTTCTCTGGGCTTTTGATTCCCCTCTGATTAGCCTTTGTTTCTGCCAAGCAAAACATGTTCAAGTGAGAAAAAGAAAAAGCATGTATGGTGTTTCACAAAATTACTTGACACCGTCTCCCATAATGGGAGCCAAACATAGATTCTCAGACATTTTCCTTTGTTACAGTTGTAACCTTACAACTTTGTATTTACCATAACAAATTAACCCAAAGTGTTCGAGTGGTGGTTTTTTCTGCCACTAGATACCGTGCTGGAGAATTTGACTCACGTTGGTCTCCTAGATAATCTTTGCTAGAATGAATACAAGTCTTTCCGTGAACTTTTAGGAAGAATTCTTTTGTCACCTCCACTTGACATAGCAATTTTCAAAGGAAAAAGGAAGAGAGTTATTTTTTTCCCCTGGTGACTTGGTAGCGTATAAATGCTTTTGCCAATTTGCATGCTGGGTTATATAGGTTTAGCATGGGCCATTTCTCTCCTTAATGTCTTGGTATTGTTGGCATCTCGCAATCTTGATGGCCCACTGTTCCAATTTATTTATTTTCTTTTATATTGTCAACATAACACACTAGAGAAGGAATCTGAGTAAGTATTCTGTATTCTGAGTTAAAATGGAGTTAGATGTCATTTGTACAGGACTGTACAATGATTAATATCTGCAGTGAAATTAGACCAAATGAAACCTGTTGGAATAAGTTTGATTTATATTGCCTTCATCACTCTGTTTTTAGATGAAATGGTTATTGCTCTCCACTGCTGCTGAAAGAAAAGAGTCTTAAACGTTAATAATCACCACGACGTGATGCAACCACTGAGCTTATATGTTTGAAATATCTATATTTCTCATCTTACAACATACATTATAATGGAGATTCTTTTCCTAGTGCCCTCCATTGCAAACTTCTTAGCAGTGTTGTTCAATACTCAGCGTGCACAAAAATCTTTTGTAGCACTTGTAAGAAGGCAGATCCCTTTACTCTAGCCCCAGAGAGACTGATTCAGAAACTTCTAGCAGGGCCAAGGAATCTGCATTTTGGTCCAGCATCTGTAATGATTTTGATGGGATAGGCTGTGGACCTTACAGAAATTCTGCTCTTGAGGGACTATGCAGAGGTCTGTATTTTCTCGCTTCCTTTCACTTTTATTTCCACTACAAAGAAGTCAAAGCTTACATTATTCATTGTCTCAAGAGCAAAGGCCCACAGAAAAGAATCCTAGGTCTAGGACAGAGAAGATTCCATGGTTCTGCTGCCCTTACCTCCGTCTGTCAACCACAGCACTTTTCCATCTTGTGTATATTTGTGTAGTTTGGTTTTGGTTTTTGCCAGACTGAAAGCCTGCACCATTATAGTTTTATGTCTTGGTACTATGGGTAGATGGGAGCATATCCCTCAGTGAGATGTATCCTTATGATACCCATCAAGGAAGGAAAGAAAAAAAAAAAAAGATGAAGTTTCGCAGGAAGAGTTGTTCATTTCCAGGCCTTGTGCAGTTTGAGTCAGAGGAACTGGAGAATGATCCAGAATTTAATGGGGTTGTGTATGGGCCCAAAGGCGGTCCCATAACTGTG